GTGCCTTTTGTTTTATTTTTGAGCTCACAGAATGGAAACACAGGCTTTTTCTATTGCAAAATATTTTACGAGCAAATATTTTACATCCGTCACCTGGCTCCAATGCAGCAGCACTGGMGGAATTTTTCTCCTCACCCCAGAGGGAGATTAGAAACATTCCTTAAATCACTTCGTGCTCCATACTAGCTTGAAGTGAAATAAGGTAGCAAAAGGTGATAAGTAGTTGTTTTCAATATGTAAAGCTTCTGTTGAAACAAACCAAAACAGATTCAGACAACAGGTAATCAGCAGATTTGTAAGATGATTTCTGCCTGGTCTGGAAAGGCCCTCAGCTACTTTTACTGTGAACTACCAGAACTCGGCTATTGTTACACTATAGAATGAAAATCCCCTGAAAGGAGGTGTGTTTCTTATACACATTTTAGATGCCACAGAATTGCTAATAAGTTCAAACCAAGATGCAAAGAGCAGTCGGGTCAAATCTTTAAGTCACTCAGTAGGAAACCCAGGTATGCGCTTGTTTTAGCTCTGATTTGCACAGAGACCTCATATGGTCCTTACTAATGAAATGAGAGGCAGTAGTAGCATCTCTTCCCAGTGCAGCAGCAGGGAAACCGAACCACAAGGTTCTTCCACTAATATGAGTTACTCTAATGTTGCGGGAACTTTGCACCGCTGCAATAATTGCAGATTTAACGGGGCTTTTTCATCCTTCTCATCCTCTCTCCCTCACGGCTTAGTGCTGCCATCTACTTCTTTTTTAATCCTGGCGAAGTTCCTTGCAGACTGATTCAGCCCCAGCCACAGCAGTGGCTCACGGCTTACAATGAATTGCCACAGGTAAAGCTAAAGGGAAAGAGATACACAGAACTGGATCCAAAGACATAAAGGCACCTATGTTCTTTTAAAGCTGATTGGCATGTGAGCCCTTGAAGATGAGCAAAGATTGGAAAAAAATAAAATAAATAAATAAAAAGCTTACTCGGAACTCTTAACCATGACATCTTTCACAGCTCTTGCTGACATTAAGATAGTAAAGCAGGAGATGACAAAGTGGCAACAAAAGAGGACCTATCAAATCTGTAGCACAGTTCCACAGAGCAACTCTCTCTCTCTCTCTCTCTCTCTCTCGCTTGAAAGTTGTATTCAACGTTTTGGTCCCTCAGGGTTAATAAAATTCTTTTACAAGTCGTTTATTTTGCACAGCCACTAATGCGTCTGGAAAAATGTTTCCTGGCCAAAGCATCTATCATCTGAATAAAGAGGTTGAAAAACATTCAGACGTTTTACTAGGGGACTGCCTGCTGCTGAGYGTGCAGGAGCGAGCCCTGAGTAATTCTCCACCTCGCTTCTTCCCCGCACAYGCTTATTTTTAGGGTGCGAGCGCTGGTTTCCATGCAGCTCCCCAACACCCACTTGCAGGGGGGTGAGCTCTGCTTCGGAGAAGAGCTCTCTGCACCTAGCATGGCTCCCACATTCATTCTTCCTCACTGGGGGAACAGTCCTGAATGGAGGGGGACTATGATGACACTTTATGTCCCCCACCACCAACGCTGCCGGGAGCATCCATCCATGCAGCGGCCCCTCCACCAGGAAGTCCTCTCTAGCACTGTCACGCACTCCTTCCTACCAAGATCCCTCTAATTCCTGTAGGCAAGGACTAAATCCGCATGGAACCACAAAACCTCTGCCTGTATTTTGCGAGAGGGGAGCGAAATGCAGAGCAGGAGAAGTGACGCTTCCCTGCCACCCCTCTGGGCGCCACCAGCTCCTTCTTCAGCTCCTTCAGCTCCTTCTTCAGCAAAGCAACACAGTGGGTATTCCCACCGCTTCCCAAAGGGTCTTTCACACCACGCGGCATTCACTTGCACGTCYACCCTCGGGACGGGCGTCCATGGAGATGTTCCCTTTACGTGCACCTGCTAGAGGTGACCAAGTGGCCGGACCCTCAGCAAGGCCACCAGCCGGAGGAAGCATGAGCCATTTTCAGCAGCGTATTTTCTCCTTTCTATTCACTCTCTCTTTCTATAAAGGCAAAAAAGGGTAGCAAAGAGAAAATAAAATGCAAAGTACAGTTCTTAAAATAAGAGCTCCCTCCTTAGCCACCGCTCGTGGGGCACACGTGCTATCAGGCCTTTGGTTGGCTGCAGGTCCGCCTGGCAGACGGGGCTTCCCTGGCTGCGAAACATCTCCGTAACATTCGGGGGCTTTGCAAACGGGATTGCAAATCCCAGTCTCCAAAATGAGCCGACTAGATGCTGTGATCAACATGCAGTGGGGCTGTGTGGCCCTCACGTGCTGCCCTTGCAGCGAGCCCCATGTCCTGGTGCCCACCAGCGATGCCAGCGGCAGGAGATCCTTAAAGGAATCATTCTTTTCCTCACATTTATACCCAAGTAAAACCTGGAATTATTTCCTGAACAAATAGAGGGGAAACCCAGCTCCTCGAGCTGACATCATTGCTTATTTACATATAAATACAGCCAGCAAATAAGCATATGTATTTACATATAAACAACAACAACAAMAAAGCTATATGTGTAGTGTTTCAGATGCTGCTTTTTCCCCCCAATATTCATTACTTTAACCAGCACTTCAGGAAAAAAATAAAAAACAACAACATTCTCCCCAAGAAATTGGTGATAAAATGCCCTCTGGTGGGCGTGACTGTGGACCTCTACAGCAACAACCACCTCCTATATAGTTCAGAGACTTCGGCATATTCCCGAGATTACTATTTTTAATGGAGTGAGACAWAGCCCAGCCTTGCTTTCCAGAAGCAGCAGATACTCCACTTGCTAGCGAGCCTGTGTTTCCCTGCTAAATCCCTAACCCATATGCATGTTAGGCTGCTCACATAGAGATGTAAAATAAAAATAATAAATTAAAAAATAAATCCATAATTCCTGGAATTAGTATGTAATATTCATTTTGCCTTCCAGATGATACTCTTTTCCCCCTCTAGTACTAAAATAAGTAATTAAAGGAACTGAGAAGGAAAGTTATGTTATGTCGAGGTGAAAGAAAAATTTAGGAGAGTGTTTGCAGAGCAGCCTGCAGAAAAGCCACGTTGTTTTTACAGTGCRTGTATCATGCTGGCCCTGACAGAACACAAAGCTCACTTAGGAAAGAGGCCAAAATGTGCGTTCATGTGCACACACACTCACACACACACACATAAAAACTCCAGAAGAATTTACTTTCCAACGACAGGGAAGGAAAGGACAAGGAAGGATAATCCTCAAAATTAAATTGACCTTAATAGAATGTGTTCCAACATTAAATTGCTCAAAACACATTGAAAGAAAAGAACCGGAGGCTTACCACATACTGACTGAAGAAGGTAAAGGCAGCAATTTGGGGACAAAGACGTCAAAGACATTGAAAAAAAGAAACGCTGCTGGGGCTGAATACCTGACCTGGAGCTGGAGAGCTACCAGGCAGGTCTAGCCCCAACACCAGACCACTTGGGAACGGCTGACACAAATTGTARCAGGACCCAGAAATGTAATAGCTGATCCCCTAAAGTTTCCTGGGATGTTTTGCTCTTTTTTTTTTTTTTGTTTTGTTTTTGTTTTTTTTTTTTTTGGCACAGTGAAGCTTCAGAGCTACTGCTAAATAAAGCGAAGTAACATAAAATACTACCCAGGCAAGAGAATACCTGCTACTTTTACTTTGCAGGTCTCCTCGGGGAACAGCCACCCTTCCATTTCATACTGGATACAATATCTCATCCAGCCACCCTGAAAGTTAGACTGGTTCTGAGATTCCAAAACRCAACTTGCAGTTGCTTTGCACTGGCAATATTTGGAAGCATGATACATATGGAAGAGGTGAAGCATCTCCGTCCTTTTAAACACATTTCTCATCAATAGAATTTCTCTTGCAACGATGTTCTTGGGTATAAATAACAGCAAGATTTAGCATTCACCTTTTCCTTTTCTACTCTCAAAAAGCAAAGCAACACAGTCAAATTTGATTTATATGAAAACTGCCCTTTCTCTAAGTAACGCACCTCTGCTCAGTACAGAGCTCCGTCCCTCTCTAGTGGCAGCCAGGTCACATACCAATTGATAAGCAAGCAGGCTTGGCTAACAGAGGGCTTTTTTAGCTAGGAGACTTTTACCGGAAAATTCGAAGATCCCACATTTATTCTTTGTCAACAGCCCACCTAGAGGCCCAGAATCACATTTTCAGTTTTCTGTGTGAAGACAAAGGCTACCATTTTTGCAGAGTGCTCTGTGACCATCACTCTTGCAGCTACCTCTTGACATTCTGCACTGCTGATAACCACAGTCCATCATATCCACTTATTAGAGACAACAAGCCAAAATTAAATACTGCATTTGTGCATGTAACAGCTATGCGTGTGCAATGACACTCCTAAATTTTGTCTAAAATTAAAAATAATGAGATTATCTAGGCAAGATTAGTATCAGCATTTCTTGGATCTTAATGAGGTCCTAATGGTTAGTCTTTTCCTCAAATAAGCTTTGCTTTAGAGCAGCACTTACAAGGGTAAGTTTTGCTAATTTTCCTTCCCCACTTCCCCTCGAAGCTTAAAACAGTAACATATCTTAGATATACATGCAAGCATGCCTAGCAAGCCCAGGGGAAGAAACAGACAGACAGGCAGAAAGAAAACACAYATACACAACCGTCCCACCTTTTTCGTTTCTATTTGTTGTTGCTGTTATTGGGAGGTTTTGTTTGTTTTTTTGCTTCTGTTATTTTTCTAAATAACACAAGAGCAAGAGCCCAAAGCTGTACATTTGTGTTTCCTGCTAAATTCACAGGCAATCCTTACATATAAAGTATATACCTTACCCTAAGAGGAACTATGCTCTCCTCTTAAGGAGACAGCCTTTGGCTACAGCCAAATCCAGAAGGTTACAAAAATACTCAAGAAATGGTATGTTCTCAATTTTACAATGTGATGTTTAGAAAGTGGGACGGTTTTTATAATCTACTATCATATGCAAAGTCATTTTTATAAGTACCTTGAGGAAATCTGAGCCCGTTCATGGTTTGATAGAGACGAGTAACTGCAGGATAAACAGTGAGGCCTGAAAAGAAGAGGAAGGAAAGAGTTAACCAGAAATGCTATTTGGATCACATGCAAAAGTCCAAGCAACTTGCCCAGCCTAGTAGCTTTTAAGAGCAAAAATACAAAGATAACTAATGTGCTGATTAACYTTCTCCCTTGGTGCCTCTGACTGTCACAGTAAAAGAAAAAGACACCCGTGAACGCATTGACCAGCCTCTTCTCCCTCCTGATGTTAAGACCTATGAGAAGCTGCTGCAAAACGATGCTGTGAAGCTGAAAGCAAGTTCAGAGGTGAATCCCAACCCTTGAGAAATGGGCATTAAGGAAGAGCGATAGGTGCCTCATAACTGAAGCTGTACCCAACTTTCTAACATAGCTGATCCAACTGAGTGTCAATCTTGATGTCCAACCAAGACCACCCTAATTGTGCTGCTGAAGAACCACAGCCAAAAAAGTTCTTCAAATAAAGGGAGCAGTGTTGCACAAAGTGGATTTAAAAAAAGAAAAAAAAAAAGAAAAAAAGAAAAAAATTCTATTATTCTTGAAACACAATACTTCAGTAACTTAGCTATTGCAGCCACAAGATTTGTCTAAGAACAGTTTTTTAGAAGGCTTGAAGGATGCTGCTGTGAACTGTTCAAGTGTGATATTGAAACAGTGAGTTTCAGGAAAACTTGCTGCAATTTCTCTTTTAGCAAGATCGCTCCCTCCCCTCCCCACATGCACTTTCAAAACTTCCAAGGTAAAACTCTCCCAAGGTAAAAAAGTAATCGAAAATACAGGGTATTAGGGTGAACCACAATCCTCTTCATCTTTGACTAAATTTCTGTTTCTTTATCTACCACTTTTAAAGCCAGCCCCATATTTAACAGATTTCAGACAAGCCTTTTTGCCTCTTTACTTGCTATGCCATTCCCACACCCTCTGTTTTTTCTCCTATAAATAACAACTCAAATATCAGCCTCAACCTCCCTTTGCCATTTAGTCCCCAGAGAGATAAAGTTGCAACACTGCAGGACCAGAACGGCCCAGAAGTTTAATCATAAAATTACATTTTTTTCACTCCAAAAAATAAAAAGTACTAGAAAATGGGCTTTATTATGAGTCTTTGATAGTTTAAAAGAACAGGCTGAGCATTTGTCTAAGATTTTCCTGGTACCAAATGTAACTTCATTTAATTTGACAGATTTGGGCCTGTAACAACTGTTGCCTGCTGAGTTGTACAGAACTGCAGAGCAGGGGAATGTGCTGAAGAACCTGGACCACATCAGCCAAAGAAGCTGGAAAAGGCAGCCTGCCCAAGGGAAGAGCTTTCCTCCTCTTGCAGCAGCTAGAGTCTATGGAGATTTCTTAGCTGTTACTTTGACCTCTAGACCTTCCCAAGTGATTTGCTCCTCAGCGTACAACTGCCATGGGCAGCGTCATATGGACATGACAACATAGCAGCTCCACACACGTCAACCAGGTTAGGGTTTATTCAGTGACTCTTCTGACAATTCAAACATCAAAATCAACTAAGTTCTCCTGAAGATCCCACAGAGCCATGTTCCACCCTTCCCTGTGCTACGTGGAGTTTTTAAATCGAACTTCATTACACTCGTTTGTCATCTCAAGGCTTAGACTTCAGAAAGCAAGAAGGTGTTCTCCACAATTAGGCTCACACAGAGCCCAAGAKAATGGAAATACTGGCTTGGAGAGCAAAGAAGTCTCATGGTTCTTGACTTTTTCAGACTGTATGCGCCAGTCCCGCCCGCAGAATATCCAGCCTAACATTAGTGTTGATGGATTTGAGCTTTAGTGAGTTGACTAACTCATACCTATGCAACACTGATTTCTGTGAACTGCATGTGTGTAACCACAAGCAACACTGCCAAATATCTCAATGTCCAACTATTACAAAAAAATAGTGGCTATACATTCACCTGATCAATCACTGCTGCCTGCAAGCAGGATCTTCCAGAAGGCTGTACTAGCAACTCATATTGACAGAGCTGAGATGAGGCAAGACAAGCCTGGCTATTAGATGAAATTGTCCTTTTTTTTTTTTTTTATTATTTTTTTTATTTTTTAAACAGATGACATGGGAGAAAGGGGACACAAAAATCCACAAACCAAGAAATAAACTACTACATGCAAATACATGCTAGCTTCTCCCAAGTTAATTCTCCTCTTAATGGAATATTGATTGGTATGCTCAATGTTTAGAAATGTGAAATAATCAGGGGGAAAGGAAGAGGGAGAGACACTTGGAGCTTTTTTTTTTTTTCCCCTTGGTTTAAATACTTTACTCATAATCAGCCAAAAATAGCATAAAAAAAAAAAAAAAAAGAGGGCAGTGCAGTTAACATTTTGCCTTGCATTATGTTAGCAAATCTGCCAAGGATGACTTGGATGTATTAACCACACATTTTCTTCACCTTTCTCCTAAAGAAGCAGAGTACAGCATTTTTTATAGCTCCTCGATATACAACATGTATTGGTATTCTGGTTTCTCTCTGCTCCCAAGAGGGCAGATTACAAAGTGTCCTTGGTAGTATCTGAGCTTTTCAGATGCAGTATGTCAAGCTGTTTATGAAGCTGGGAGGAAGGGAAACAACATTTGTGGGAGAGGGGAGATCTTTAAGTTATGCAGATCAGTTTAAAAAGGAAGAAAAACATATGGCAGGTTCTGTTTTCCTTCGGCAAACACATCAGTTATGTTGGAGGGCTTTGCACATTTCTAGGCACAAATGGCACTTTGGAGACAGAGCCGGGCATCACCTCCCCACCATACCCACATCCAAAAAGCAGTAAGMCTTAAAAATCACTGTAGAGATATGTAAGGGAATGGCAGGAACTTCAGCACAACGCTTCCTGCAAGGGACTGGTCTGGAGGGAAGAAGAGTAGTCCATAGTCCTGATGGGAGAACATCAGGATAGGCTTTGTTGTTCTACTCTTGTCTCCGGGTAGGAGGCACTGAAGATGGAAGAGAAAAGAAAGAAGAAATAGTTGCATTTTTGTAGCAGCTAGGATTTATAGGAAASTGCCATTTTTTGAACACAGGAAAGCAATGAAAAACAAACAAAAAAWTACTATATTACCATCAGAGCACCTAGTCTTGATACACCAAAACAGCAACAGCATCACGCTCAACAGCTCTGCTAATCTATCCCTCTACCACTATATTAAGCCTACAGATAAGAATACAAGTGCAGCCAAGGGGCTGTTTCATAGCAGATCAGCTGAGACAGCAGATCTGAGTGTATATTATACACTCGCACACACTATTATGTTCTCCCATTTGTTCCAAAACATAAGAAGTTTCATCAAGAATTAGTAATTTCTTTCCTCTCCTGCCTAGACCTTACAAGGGGTAAGGAGAAGGCTTAGTAGGATAACATCCAAGTGCAAGTTATTCTGCAGCATTTTACAATCACTCACACACACGGTGACATTGCTGTACAAGGTGATCCAATTTGGCGTTTTTCACTCTTAGCAAGAAARACACAAGAGAGTTGATAGAAAGTTAAAAAGGAAGTTTTTTGAAGTGCACAATATGTTAGGAATCATTCAAGGAAATCGTGTGTTAACAAGGGACAAGTCAAAAAAAGATAATTTTATATACACACACACACGTGTGTGCACACAAAGCACAGTCATCCACTTCGAAGTTATTTTATCTATGTGATTTTCATTCTATGTGATTTCTATGTGATTCTATGTGACATTCTATGTGATTTGCACTTCTGAATACTCTGCTCTCCCTTCTTCTGGTTTACCTTCAGCTGGAAAAAATTAATAGTATTTAAATTCTCTTCTTTCTAATTAAGGAAATCAGTATCTTTAAGGCTAACTGACACGAGAAACTTTTCTTTGAGTAGTTAGAGCATGCTGTGATCTGCAAAGGTAGAGCGTTCACAGGCCAAAAACAAAATCAAAACCCTCTAACAAGGTCTGACAAAGCACATCTCAGAGCAGAATTATCTGATTTAAATATTAATTACTYATCAGCATGGACTTTAAGAAGTGTCTGAAGCAAAAGCTCTTAAATCACACTTTAAGTCCAGGATTTCTCCAGTCTGCATTGTGATGCAAACCGTGCTGCTTTCCGCACCCCCCCCTCCCTTTTCTCTTTTCTTTCTTTTTTTTTTTTCCTCTTTTAAAAGAGTGAACACCAATAATGAGTCTCTCTCAAGGTTCAAAAATATCAATAGAGGTATGATTAAAGTCTAGCTCAACAAATTAGGAGCATCTTGAATTTAAGAAACCAACTACAGGAGAAGAACGTCACCTCAGATAGCTGTGCATGAACTTGAGAGATTTGGGGTTTATGTTTGTTTTGAGGTTTTTTGTTGTTGTTGTTGTTCATTTGTTTTGATTTTTTTTTTTTAGAGCATTTCTCAGCTTCGCATGCTGCTCATGAAACACTTCCATGCTGTGCCCATTTAACAGCTCCCCCTTAACATTACTTGTATGAGGGAGATCTCCTTGCCAAGAAAGCCCCCCAAACACGCCCCTAGAAATAGTCAGATTTTTCCAAATTGCATTTCAGTCACATTTATGCAGGGTTTAGTCTTCCACCTTCAAGTAAGCMAAAACACTCAAAGCAAAAATTTGCACAAAAGCCCTAGTGTTTCACGTCGCCTGCACTTTACTGCATCGGAGGGCAAGGACTTTATTCTAAAACATACAGCAGCAACGCAGAAGCAATGTTGAATTCATTGCAAAGACGAAGTCTGTCTCTGTAATTCAAGTAGACTGCTTCGGTGAATCAATATTACTATTGTAAGCCAGCATTAAAAGTTACCYGAAGTTTAAAGCTACCAAAGAGCTGCGGTTTATTTAACATTAATGCCAATTACAGCAAAAAGCCAAGTTTAGACTACTGGAAAAAACTAGACCTCAACATCCCTGATAAAAATCAAACACACACACACAAAAATAACAGAAAACAGCAAAGAAAAATAAAGCAAAGAGTCCCATGCTCCAGGTAGTCTAATCCACAATATAAAATTATTTATGGAAGAGTGTGACTTGGAATTTAGTTACTGTCATTTATCAGGTGGTCAAGACAGCACAGAGGTAACCAGCTGCATAATAACAGCACGATGCAAAGCCTGCTCGGGGTACCTCTGGCAGTGATTTTAACCATATCTGTTTTAACCGCAACAGAAAAACTGTGCATATTTGAAAGCTGTGATGTACATTAAGTCTTAAGGGGAGAGAGAAAAAAAAAAAAAGAAAAGAAAAAAAAGAAAAAACACACAYTAAGAGAAAGGTTTTCCTTTAAGAGATTTCCAATCTCTTTTCTTTTAATCTCTCTTCTTATAGCACAGGAAAGATGCTTTGTACTGCTAATAACAGCGGCAAGAGAAGTGACAGCAGCACATCAGAGCTGTTTACCGCTCGTACATGGAGCCGTTGGTGGCACGTCGCTTGGAGAAGGCCATGACCAGCCTTCATCTTTAAGCATCTTTGGGAGAAGCTGGCCCTAAAGAAGGACATCTTCCTGCCGCAACTAGGGCAAACTACCACAAAACCGGAATGGGAATAAAATACATAAGATATCAGATCAATATAGCAGTTTTATAGTAGTTTTGAGTATTTTTTCTGAGTGTTTATTTAAGACAAATTGTGTTATCTGCAAAGGCCAGCAGTTTGCATGCTTATTGGCTTTAGGAAATAAGTGAGAAACATCCTAACACCACGTTGCTTCCATGGAGAGGCAACTACATTGTGTCTTTAGGTACATGAAGAGATGGTAAAAAAAAGAAAAATCTAATGGTACTGTGTCATATTGAAGGTTTTCAACTCAGGGCACTGTGCTGATTACTAAATACCGCAACTGGAAGAAGAATTAAAAAAAAAAAAAAAATCCCAAACCTGAAGGGCCAAGTAATTTGCTAACCCAAGCTGAATTTTTCACGAGCCTTGATTACAGCACAAAGCAGCAATTATCAGAGCAGCACGCAGACCTCGGTGGTGTGCCATGGAGCTGATGAGTCTGCAAATGGAGAAGCTCCAGGATCAGGCCTCCGGCTCTCCCGATTCCCAGCTCCTGCACCACACGGCAGCAAATCCAAGGGGATCGGCGCACTTAGTGGGCACTCTCGCAAGAGCTTCCGTAAGGCTGCACTTGCCGCCTGAAGATCAGGGCTGGGATATTAAATAATTTAAAGCAAGTAAGTCTTTGGCCATTTTCAGCATTAAGAGAATGGAGAAAAAAAAATCCTCTACAACTGTTTCAATTCAGGTTAAAAGTAATAAAARATAAAATGATCCTACAATATGTTTTGACGGCAAACACAGGAACTAAGACAAGGCAGGAGAGATGAGAATTCCTCTGTCCATGTACATATSTAGGGGTATCGGTTACCCCAAAATAGGGTGTGAACATCCATTGCAGGGCACAAAATCTCTGCATGTGCAAGAAGGAGAGGGGTTTGGATTCCCCCTCAGTTTTGCTGTGAGGGAGAAGAGCTGCGGACATTGGTTTGGGAGTTTGGGAACTCAATTGAAAGGTCCRGGAAGCAAGTAAGTATGGTCAGGACTGAACTGCAGCTGCAGGGCATGCAGCGGGGAAGAGAAGTGGCATCAGGACTGACACGAGGGAACAGCATCAACCCTGACAGCTGAAAAAAACCACAGTTACAGTCACAGCCCCATTCTGCACGTAGGTAGTGATGCCGAGCCGGAGCAACTCTAAGGGCAGCAATGGTCCGAAACGGGCAAAGAGCGATGCGTGAGTGAGAGCAGTATCAGTGACAGGACAGCACAACCAGCTTGGGGGAGAAAAGGATGAACTGGGTGTTAGAAGTGATACAGTCCACAGCAAACCCCCAAAATCACATCCAATATCTAGACACGTAATGCTGGAGCAAGCAACCCTCTCCTTTCTGCAAGCGGCTTCCCAGGTGACACGTCCCCGTCGATGCACTTTTTATTATTGTTTGGAGAGCAAGAGCAGCAGCAGCGTTCCCAGAACACTRATCTGGGAGAACAGAGAAATTCCTTGTGCAGGATTTCTGCTCCTAAAAACCCCAAGYGAGCAGGGATGGGGCCGCTCCATCCCACTACCCCTTCATTCAACATGACTTCTGCCCGAGCTTGCGCGCTGCTCAATGTGCCAGGCACATTGGGTGCCTGGAGCAGGACCGTCACTCATTAGAAATGTAATTAAAAAGTGACAAAAGTAGATTTTTTTTTCCCCCCTTTCCTCCCCCCCCCAGCATGCAGATGAAAACCAGTAACCCGGCCTCTATTTGTAACCATGACAACTATAGAATATTTTATTTCAGTAATATAATTCACGGCGAAMGCTCGCTCCGAGGTTTTGTTGTTAAGGGAAGGGGCTGACACGCCGCGCACGCGTCTCGCGCGCGCCTGGGGACAGCGAGCACAGCAGCTCGGGCTGCTCGCGAGGAGATCGGGAACCGAGGGYGCGTTCCAGAGCCGCGGCAGGACAGCCAGCCACCGCGGACAGTCCCTCACCAAAATCGAGTGTTAATGGGCATCACCTGCGAGGCAGCTACTCCATACAGCTGGGTGGCTTTGGAGCTTCTAATCAAACCGCACCGATACTTCCGTACGTCACGGGAGGCAGCAACCTAAACCCCGAACTTCAATTTTCAACCAAAACGTCGCATGCATTATTTAGTTCCTATTAAGAGGTAGGAAAATAGATGCTATAGGAGGAGAGATCTATATGGAGACAGGCAGCGAGAGATGCCGTTTACATATGCCGCCTAAGTATTATTCTGGATAGGTCACTAAATTACTCGCATAGCTCCCATATTTCATCCTCAATTGAAGACAACTTCCATAAATACCCACRGCGAGGACAGGTTAGGAGAACAAAAACCCTCCACGCTCTTCCTCAAAGATTAAACAACTGACTGAGCATAACTAAAGTTTGACACAGACAAATGTCAGGGTAAAATATGGCTGTACTTTTCCCCAAAAAAAAGGCCATTAGCAGCTTAATCTAGAATATAACAATAACAGGAGAAAGCCACATTGTTGCTTTGTTTCAAAAGAAAAGAAAATAAGAAAGAAACCCTACACTTGCTACAACTCTATTCCTTCTCTCACACCGATCATAACATCTATCAAGGGGGATTTAAAGTTTCAGCAGATTGCTAATTATAAGAGACAGTAATACTGTTATCTGCAGTCACCTTAAAGCTACAKGAGTTTGGCTTTTAAGCACCTCAAAATTGACCCCAAAATGATAGCCCAATAAATGTGTTTAAATCATTGGTAAAGGGCTCGCACGTGCCTGCACGTACACACACTCGCTCTGTTGTTTTAAAGAAATATGGCAAAGGGAGGGGGGAGGAAATAAAAGTTTCTTCATGCAGCAGAAAAATGCCCTATAAGCATCTGTTAAAGGAAATTATGAGCCTAGAGCAAACAAACACAGTTGTTCCCTTCATTGATGGGAAAGTGATTAAAACCCTCCTCGATCCAGCCACCAGAATGCCGCGTTTCTCCGAGCGGTTTTCCCGTAYGATAAACAAACGCAGTCAGCTACTCAGCCAGGATGTCGTGGTTTATGATGGGGAGGGGAAAAAAAAAAAAAAATAGCTTAAAAATTCCTAAATATTCTAGCACTGATTTGAGCTTCGCAAATGAAGCCAGAGATGGGAGGGGGAAAAATAATAAAGAAAGAGAGGATTATWAACAGGAAGAATTTGTGAAGTGTCTGAAAACCGCCACCATCCATCAACAGCTCTCGCCTCCTCCAGCCCTTTCCCCACCTTCGCAGGGAAGCAGAAATCCCAAGCACTGCAGCCGGGAAAGTCGCTTGAGCCTCCCCATGCTGAGCAAGCCTTCCAAGGAGACAGCGGGAGGAAATAAATATATATATATATATWTAYWYAYAYRTRTGTGTGTRTRTRTATATATATATATWTATATWTATATATAAAAAATAAAGGACCCAGGGGGATGTGTCTCTCCATGCTCCTCGCGGCACCAGACAGCGCCTGGGCTCGCAGACAAGTTAAGAGGAAACAGGAGAGGTTAAAAATATAAAGGGGGAGAAAAAATAAAGCAAAAAGAGAAAGATAGCAGCAGCTAAACCAAACCTCACGCCGGCGGGGAATGTCATATGGCACGGAGTAGGAAAGACTCTGCAAGAGCTTTTTTAAAATATATATGTACCTAAATGCAATGCGTATATATAGATGGTCTCGGACACAAGTTCTCCATGCAGAGCACGGGGGCAGAGGGGCGAGCGGGGCGCGGGACCCGCTCGCGCGCAGGGAGGCGGCCGGGCCGCGCTCGCCGCTGCCCCCGGGGGCTGCGGGCGCCCCGCGGGGGCGGCGGGTGCCCCGGGGAGGGCAGCGCGGGGACCCGCGGCTGCTCCGCGCCGAGCGCGGGGAGGAGAAGTTGTGGAGGGCACCGGCCGCACCGCCTTTTACAATAAACAAAAATAGCGATATGCGGGGAAATARTAATAAAAAGAGCCCCTTCCCGCCCCTCCCCGCGCCCGCGCCCTCCTGTCGCGGAGAGACGCGCAGGAAGTTTTCGATGCGGGCGCAGGCGCAGCGCGCTGCCCGCGGGCGCTGCGCGGAGCCGCCGCTTACCTCGCTCGTTACGCTGCGCGGCGCGGCCGCTCGCTCAGGCGCTGGCGGCGACAGCGGGAGGAGGAGGAGGAGGAGGA